GTTCAAGATTCTGGTTCATAGCCAGTAGAGAACAGAAATAGCTATCTACTATATATGACTTAAGATACAACTTTAGAATTTAAACTTTAAACTGGTTTTTGTTGCCTTTGTTACACTCTTGTTCTGTGTTCATATTTCCCAAACTGAGAGCACTAAAATGATGGATATTGGGGTTTGAACAGCAGCAGTGTTTCTCTAAAAACTGTAAAATATGCTGTGCATGTACAGTTTCTTACCATCCCCTTGTTTCTGTCTTTCAAAAGCAAGAACTTGGCCATCCCTAACCATGATCACCTACTATAACTTAATGGTACAACTTATTCTTACTGTATCTAATTCAATTAAATAAACTTGCATTTAAAGCCTTGCATACACTAAGCAATGCTGTAAAGACAAGATGATAAAACGTACACTTTTTTTAAAGGAATTAGAATTAAAGTGGGTAGTGCAATAAGCACGTAAACTAACAGTAGTGGAAATTCAAAATATGAATACAAATACGATTGTTGTGGAGGCATAAAGCAAATTGACTCCAATGAGAAGAAATCACAGAGAGATTTCTTAGAGATTGTGCCTGTGGAGCTAGATCTGGGTGATGTCAAGGATGTTAACAACCAGCAACAAAAAAGGGAGAGGAAAAAGAAACATGAATGAGGTGTGTGAAGAATAGGTTTTAGGGTACTGGTTTACATTAATGAGGTGTGTAGGGAATAGGTTTTAGGGTACTGGTTTACATTAATGAGGTATGGGGGAAATAGGTTTTCAGGTACTGGTTTACATTAATTAATTTTGCGGGGAATAGGTTTTATGAGGTGCATGGTGGAATAGGTTTTAGGGTACTGGTTTACATTAATGAGGTATATGGGGAATAGGCTTTTGGGTACTGGTTTACATTAGTGAGTGGAGGGAATAGGTTTTAGGGTACTGGTTCACATGAATGAGGTGTGTGGGGAATAGGTTTTTGGGTCCTGGTTTACATTAATTAGGTGTGTGGGGGATAGGTTTTCGGGTCCTGGTTTACATTAATTAGGTGTGTGGGGGATAGGTTTTCAGGTACTGGTTTACATTAATGAGTTGTGGGGGGAATAGGTTTTAGGGTACTAGTTCACAGGAAATAGGTTTTTGGGTACTGGTTTACATTAATGAGGTGTGTGGGGAATAGGTTTTAGGGTACTGGTTAACATTAATGAGGTATATGGGAAGAGGTTTTAGGGTACTGGTTTAGATTAATGAGTTATGGGGGAATAGGTTTTAGGGTACTAGTTTACATTAGCTATAAAGAATATCTGGATGCCTGTAGTCCCAGCTACTTGGAAGGCTGAGGCAAGAGAATCACTTAAGCCCAAGAGTTAGAGGTTGCTGTGAGCTATGATGCCATGGCACTCTACTAAGGGTGACATAGTGAGACTCTGTCGCCCAAAAAAGAAAGAAAGAAAGAAAAGCTGGAAGATTATGCATCAAAAATGATATAGCATTTATCTCTGGATGTTATAATTGTTTCAAAAAAAAAAAAAAAAAAAAAAGAATATCTGGATGGACAGAATGACTGAAGAAGAACAGATACACCAAAGATCAGTTGTCACAGATTAGCATAAAGGTTCAGATGAGGCCATGGTAGTAATATAATTATGCATCCTAGACAGCTGGTATCCTGGATGACACTTGCAATATTTTGGAAGGATTGAGTTACCTAGAAGGAATACATATTGTACATACTTACTGTGGGATGCATTTGGGGTTGAGAGCTGCTGCTATCCTTAATAACAGAGTCTATGAAGTTATGCCTGGTGTAGTCCTTGGGTCCTCATTGTCAAAGAGTTGGTAAAGCTCACCTGGTACCTGCACCCGTAATTCTTGATTTGGTAACCCCATGAAAGTCACAAACACTGAAAAGAACCCCAATAAGACACAGAATAGCAAGACCAAAGGGAATGAGATTTTATAGTAATCCCCAACAGTGCTGTGCAGCTCAAGTTTACATGCCTGGGAGACAGAAGAGGAGCCCATGTTTCTAAAGACCTCAGGATATTTTGCTGGGACTTGGCATTATTCTCCAGGCAGTGGTGATATAGGAAATAGGAAGGGAAAGGTGGCATACTGAACCCAGGCTTTCCGAAGGCACCTCTGGCAGTGGTTGCAATGTGGAATGCAGTGAAGCTAGAAACAAGGAGAGCACCCTTGGCGTTGTAATGGTCCAAGAAGAGAAATGAAATGTGTTCTGTGGACAGGAATGTTGGCCATAAAATAGATGGCACGGCAGACAGACCAAGTAGCAAAGCAGCAGTGTGGACCCCAAGGATCTCATATGTCTCTCCTGGTAATTAGACACCACTTGGAACTGCCTTCAGCCATCCTTTGGGAAATAGAAGAGTTTTTGAACTCTTAAGTATTTAGCTTAAGATCTTCTCCAAAATACCCTTTCTTTTCCATATACTTATATCCTCAACCCCCCACCCCAGCTCTCTTAGAATACATTAGGAAATGCACACTCAGAGGTGGTGAGTCGCTTACTAAATATGCTCACAACATTAGCAATAGGATTGGGCCTAGGGTCAGATAAACAAGGGATATTCCAAAGGAATGGGAGAGAAAATCTTTGTCTTTCTGTTTCCAAATAAGTGATAAATTGTAACACACAGCTCCATAGTTGTGTCATCATATACTTCTCAGGCAAAGAGACATTTCTATGGAGGCATTTGAGATAGTCATTTTTTAAGTGCTTTTAGTGACCAAAAAATTTTAAATATATAAGCATTTTTATTTAATCCATTTGAATGCTAGATCACTTCTAGTGAAGACATTGGAAGTCAAGTGGGTATCACCAAGATAGAATAAAGTTAATACTAACATCTAATGATATATCACTGAGTAACAAATTGTTGCTCTCATTGTGTCCAACCTCTGAACTCTCTTGCTCCAGCCTGACCCCACCACCTGCCAACATCTCACCAATTCTTTGAAATTTCTCTTGTCTTTTTATTCATCTAGCCTTTTTGGACTAACCGCCCTACCCTTCTTCCTTCTTCCCAGCTAATTTTCCCAGCACCCATCCCCTATGCTCATAGACAAAGAGGATTTCTATGAAATACTGCTGTGAAGGCAAGCTAGCATATCTCATGATCATATGATTGTAGACAGAAAGTTCCTTGAAGGCAGGTTCTGTGGTGTCTCTTTTCTTCACATTGTCATTATAAAGATGCAATCCTAGAAAATAAAAGGTTAATAAATTAAATACTATTTGGATACTGCATAGAAATGCAGTGCCAGAATGACTATGAACTCCAAATACAAATTTCTCATCCTATTTATAAGTTCTGTCTACAGTATCTAGTGTCTTACAAGAATTGAAATAGTTTAGTATTTGCATAGCTCTATTAGAAAAATATGTATTTCATATAGGGGGCAATGAGCTGCCATTGTGTAGCTTCTACTCTTTTCTTTTAGGTTCATATACTGGCAGTATAAAATGCTAAGCCTGATTCTTTAGTGTTCATGTAGAAATATGCGAAATCAGTTTGGAATCAGTGATGATATCAGTGGTGAGGGGTAAACTATCAATGGGATATGAAGTCGTTTAGAAGGTCCATAGTTCAATTTAAAAACAGCTACAGAAATTACAATTAAATTTCTCATGGAGAAAAGCAGGTATTTTGAAACTGAGAATTGATGAGGTTATTTCTAGTTTATGTGCAAGGTATAGGGGGTGTAGTGCAAGAAAGAGGAGGACTTGGCAGCTGGAGCCTAACCTAAAAGACTGTCCAACTGGTCTGATTTTACATCTAAAATCTTTCAAGTCTGTATACCAGAAATTTACATTTTAGGGCTGCTAAAACATTTGCAAAAAGTTCCCCCATTCTAAGTGGGACATAACCTTTTTCACTCTGAAATTTTTTCTTTCAAAAATTTATGTTCTAACTACAAAAGAAATCTGGACTTAAGAAAAAGAAACCTATACTAATAGCAAGTTTTAGTATAATTTATTAATTTTTATAAAATTAGAGAAAGTTAGTTTAATTTTTATTAAACTCACTTTAAAATCTGCATTCATAAATACACTAATATTGCACTTGCAGTGGGATAGAAAACATAATTGTATTGAGAGGTTTTCCAACTGAAGAATGTATAGTCATTGAAGATATTATAACTGAATGAAGAGTGTAAGATAAAAATGAAAGGCGTTCACTTATAAAAATAGAAACAAATGAGAAAAAGGTATGAAACACTTGACATGTAAAAGCTTATATGTCTTTAGTAGTCTTTTCTGAGGAAAATTACACATCAAAGTGAATTTCTAAATGAATCATATTTTACACATTTTCTCTTTAGCATAAGCAGATGCATTCTCATTATGTAGTAAAAATCAGCATAAAAGTAACTATTTCAAAATTTAACAGGTCTCATAAAGTCATTTCAAAGTAAACAATTTATTACAAAGATTTGAAAATATCAAATTGCCCATAAGCAACATTTGACAGAAATATATGTCTTACAGAAATTGTACTATATATGACTTTAATGGCTGAACTAGAGAACTATGTCCAGTTTCAATATTTGCCCAATAATATTAGCTGAGTAATGCTAAATTTAGTCAAAACCAAAGTACTTATTCATATAGCTAGACTTAGCAACATGTTACTGCATATTTGTTACTAGGGCTAATTGACAATTAAATCATAAATTTCAAATAGGTGTGAAAGGATTTAGTAATAGCTAGATTTCTTAATTGATAGATCATCTAGTATTTTCTGGTTTATGTTGACCTCAATTTTATATATATAGACACTTAGGATTTTAGGATGTATATACTATATGAATATTATATATGTCTACATATATTATTTAAATATGTAGTTATATTACAGAGGGGTAGTTGAAATATTCACAGTATGCTAGATAAGCCTAGGAATAGCTTGTGAATATATTAAAAATAAGGCATTTTTATGCTATGTTGGGTACATGTAGCTTATTGTTATTAAAGCAATTTTCTTTTTTTTTAACAGGTTATTTGGTATTAAATCAGTAATTCAAACAGACTGTTCTAGTACTTGGAAGATCATAGTAAATCCGGACCTGTCATGGTATCACTACGCCAACCCCATCCTCTTGCTAGTGATGTACTATACTCTGGCCACTCTGATTCGTATCTGGCTACAAGAACCCCTTGTAAGAATAAAAAGGTTTTCATGATCTTGTCTGCAAAGTGGCCTGGAATCTCCCTGTGATAGGATTTATTCTTACCACCTACTGATGAATCAATACTATATTCCAATGCAACTCTATGTGTTAACCATTATAGTGTTTTAAGTTCTGCCAAGAGTATTAAGTGAATATAACTACTATCAGAAGGAAGACTAGTTTCCCTTTGCTGATATTACTGTGTGCTAAGAATGACAGGTGGTGAGGAGAATGGAAGACTCATTTTTACTAAGCATTTACTAAGCACCCAGCAGTATGCTTGGTTGCTTATATATATTATCCCATTTATTTCATAAAATAATTCTAAAGAATAGGTATTGTGCACCTCTCACACATGGGAAAATGAGGTTAGAGAGGTGATTTTTTCTGAATTCACACGTTTACTGATGGTACAAATGAGATTCAAACCCATGTTTGACAACCAAACTCCGGTCTTAGAGACCATACCCCACATACACCACTATTGGTGTAGCGATCAGCATTTTCCAAATCTCCTCCAACCCTCTTAGCTTCTGAGGATGTTGGAGTTCTCTTGATGGTGTCTGTAGGCTCCTGGGTATCCAACTGAAAAAGATGGGCATTCGGATGTTCCTTCCTGCAAAATTAAAGACAACTTTATTCCCTCTGGGAACATTAACTAGGACACAGCACTACGGAGAAGAGGACCAAAGCCTATGCGGCTTTTCTCTTCCCTTTCGGTGACAAAAAACTTCAGTTTGCTTATTTCCCTTTTGTGTTACCTTTAGTTTAAGATTGCTAGTGGCTGGCTTATAAGGTTAATTGAACTTTGTGAAAGCTATTACTCCAAGAATGTTTGCATAACTGCTCTCTAGTACAGTTTAGAATACACAGGTAAGCTGTAGGTATTTAACATTAGATCATATTCTGTAATGTACGGGCTTAGTATGAATCATGGATCATTTAATATTGATGTATTTATTAATTATAAGAGAGCATTTTTGTAATTTTAAAAAGTATTAATATCTTGATTGGATCCATATATTATAAACATTCACTTTAAAAAATCATCATACTAAAGGCAAAGATGAAAAACTATCTCTTGGCCACCTAGACTGCTTAGGGAACTACTTCAGAAATCAAAGCTGTTCCTGTTATTGTCACTCTGTGTTTCAGGTGCAGGATGGGAGACCCAAGGAAGAGGACAGAGCGCTGGCTTGTAGCCCCATCCAAATAACAGCGGAGAGGAGGCGGAGCCTGTGGTATGCAACCCATTACCCCACAGATGAGAGAAAGGTAAGCCATGAAGAAAGGAATTTCCATTCTCTAATTTATTCTTCTGTTTTTGTATTTTACCTTTGAATATGAGCATTATAATGTCATATGTAAATTCAAGTTGTGCACAGTTTATAGAAACAGTTTGATTTAGGAGGGTTAATACCAGAGAGCTCCCTTTAGAGAGGGAACATAGGTTTATAGAAGAAATATAGCAGCCCCATCTGACCCTGCAAGAATACATTTTGTATTTCAGTGATTTCTACTGAAGTCTTCTAAAAAGAATGCTCTTATTTAAAAAAAAAAATGTTTTTTTTTTTCTATTTCAAACAAAAAATAACAAAGCAATTTGTTAGGACTGGAGAGTATGAGTTTCCATGCTGAAATACATTACAAAAAATAATTTCACTCTATTGGGTAGCTAGCCACAGTAGTAACTCAGTAGGCACTTAGAGAAGACACAGTCTATGTGAGTATGCTGAAGGGCCACTCGCTACTCTGAGGCCACCATGTATATTGACAAAAAAAGTCACATTTGGATAACTTGGACAACCCATAGATTTTATATATAATATATATTAATAATTCATGTGATCTTTTAACCATTTATTGACCACCTTGAACTCAACGCAGTGCTTTATTGACTTGTTAAAACTGCCAATTTGCAATATGGTAAAGACAAACAACAATCTTATAATTCTTGGACAGGGTCAGCATTTTATCTCTCAGAGTGTTTGCACATTGAGGAGTAGGCTTTCTGATTTCTTGGGTGGCAGGCAAGTTTCTGTAAGACACATAGTCCTACTGTCAATGCTGCCACCCTGTGTTGGACAGGGTTGGACAGTGAGTGAGCTTCCTTAGAGGATGACAGCACTATAGAGCAAATGTCTGGGGACTTTCACCTCCCCATTCAGATGATCTTGTGAATTTCAATAAAGGATAGATATTAATAGACAATAGCCCAGCTGTTTTCAAAGTGATGCCTGTGGACCTATAGGAATCCAGAGCCCCTTGATAGGGGTCCTTATGCTCAAAATCATTTCCATACTAATACTTAAGATCTATGCCTTGATGGTACAAAAATAAGGATGAGCAAAACTGCCGGCACTAGAGCCCAAACCGAGGTGGAGGCCCCAAAGCACAGAGAGTAGTGATTACAGATCAAGCCTTTCACTGCCAAGCTCACATAGAAAACAAAAAATAAAAGACTGGTTGCATTTGAGAAAATCCTTGATGAACTCCAAAGAGTTATTAATTTCCTTATATCAAATCTTGGCATGCACCTTTTTTAATATTGCATATGACAAAATGAGAAGGCTGCATAATGTGCCACATTCAAGTATTACAATTGTCCTGCTAAAAAGTGCAGAGCCTGGTAAAACCACTGTGAATTGAACTTGCTGTTTCCATAATAGCCACTTTTACCTGGAAGAACAGCTATGAACAGTTATTCAGATTGAGTATGTGGCAGACAATTTCTTGAATTGATCCCAACACTAGGAGGCAAATGTTGTTTGCAATGATAAAATTTCAGTGTTTGAATTAGAATGTTGGGAAACTTGTATCTACCATTGAGAGCTTGAAAACTTTTTATATTTAAGGGTTTTTT